TTCACAAAAGACAAAGCCCCGGTTTTGAAACAACCAGACCGTGTACATCATTTTGTCTTTTTCAGCTGCTTTATTTCATCATAAAATTTTTTTTAACTTTACGTTCGTTTTTTGTTGTAAATTACACCCGCCTCTTTTCTCGGCTACACCGACAGACACGCAGTTCCAAAAATGACCACCGTCGCTGGCAACGTCTGGGAGCTCAGCATACGCGAACTAATAAACAAGCGCATTGTCACGTTCCGGCATCTGCGCAATGCAATGGCGCTGCCGCTCGAGCTGGGTGCGCTTGGTTCTGGCAGCGTGACTAACACAGCAGACACCGACGCAGGCAGGGGTGCCAAGCGGCGGGCATACTTTAACACGCTACTTTTTGACCCCGAGGACCTGTGCGGCATGTTCAACAGCATCCGGGTACGCAAGCGCACGCGTGCATACTTTATGCTCGGCTCCAGTCTGGGGCCAATTCTAGCGATATCAAACCCGTCCGACTACATCAAGGCGCTCGGTATTCTGATCAACGAATACGATACATACATGGCTGAAGCTGGCAGCAAGACAAAGAAGCGCAACTTTTTCCGCAAGTCGAAGGGCGGCGACGAGCAGCACGGGTCTGCATCGTCACTGTCGGTGCAGAGCGAATACGAGCTAGGCAACTTTTCGTACCTGGACACACACATGCCGCCGTTCGACTTGGACTTTTTGCAGGTGTTTGACACGTTCTGCCAAATAACGGTCATCATGTACACAAAGCTGGCCGACTCGCTGCTGTCGATACCGATATCGCAATCGGCATTCGACAGCATTGCCAAGATTGACAGCCGGTTCAAGAAGATGATTGGCGTGGTTGTGCGCGAGCTCGACGAGCTTGTCAAGAATGCGGTGACGCGCGAGCTGCGGCTGATTGACCCGCTTGACATGGCGTCGCCGGAGAACGAGATCAACACAGACTGGGAGACGAACAGCGTGTACAAATGAAGCACATGTGCTTCTTCAACCACACATGTATTTTTCTATTCAGCCCAGCGACTCACACATCCTCACACTGCGCACACACTGTTATAATAGCCAAAAATATATTAATTTTTATTCGACAAAATGTACACATATTCGCCGATCTAGTGCGGCCGGTAGCGTGCGCCCTGCACAACGACGTTGTCGACCTCGTCGCGGAGCTCCTGTACGACCTGCTTAGGAAGAACAATCTGACCAGCAGCAAAGTTCTGGTCCAGGTACTTTATCTTCCGTGTGCCAGGAATGACAATCAGGTTCTTGTTCTGCGCAAGCAGCCAAGCAAGAGCAACCTCTGTCGGATGGTGGTTCAGCTGTTTGGCCTTGTCGACAAATGCGTCGACAAGCTTGAGGTTGTTTGCAAAGCATTCAGGCTGGAAGCGCGGATTGTGGCGGCGCCAATCAGTCTCGTTCAAGTCATCGAACGAGCGGATTTGGCCGGACATAAAGCCACGGCCCAGTGGTGCATAGGCGACAATGGTGACACCCAACTCGTTGCAGGCATCGATCAGACCGTCGGTCTCACTCTGCGTAGACCAGGGGCTGTACTCGATATCAAGAACGACAATCAAAAATATCAAATAACACTCTTAACAAATTCAGATTAAAGAATTAAATTAATTTATGTGTTAACAGTGACATGCTGTTGTAAAAATTTTTAATGCAACCGTCTGAGTTTGATTGATTTAAAGCGTTGATAGTTTAGAGGTAAAATAGCCGCTTCCCAAGCGGCTGTCCCGGGTTCGATTCCCGGTCATCGCACTTTTACTCCATGAAACTCTGCTGCACATATTGCTGGTGCATATATTTACGTTTTGTGAATGAAGTGATAGCGTGCATTGACACAATGTTAAGTATGCATATTATTTCATTTTGGGGGAATTGATAAAAACTATGAAAAATTCTACAGCTGTGATCAATCCGCATTACAGAAAATCCATAATCGACCGCTACAGTGCGCAACACCCATGCGCCGAAACTGCAGACCTACAGAAGTTCCAACCAAAATCTTATTGACACGTGGCGATAACCAGGTCGGACCTTATTCGTAAGGTATAGCCTGTACGTAGGCATTTGGATACATCATCACGAGATGATGGGTACAATGTGACTCTATCTACAGATAAGTGTTGACCCCATTACGCGCTGTCTGCAGTGCCGATGCAACAGTGCGCGCGTAAACATTAACTTAATAATGTGTCAATAAAGGTATTTTATCACTCCTTGAGAATAGAGGCAGGGTGGCGGAGATAAAGGAAGGGGGGAGGGAGGGCGGAAAAGGTGGTGAGGATACTTGTCTTGTGCTGCTGTTTTCCTCCTCCATTTATACAATTCCCTATTTTCACAAAAAAACTTAAGATATATGACAACTATGAGAAACGAAAAAAGCAAACATAGACTAAATGTTACACGTGGTGTTCTCAGGGTTGATAAACATCATTGAGAGAACAGGCGACGGACATGAACGCAATCAATCTGATGTCAACACTGATATGATCTTTACAACACAATAACAATTTTAGTATATAAGAAGACATACGATCATATTACCTGATCGTGTGAATCTATAGGAATACGCCATTGTATAAACACCACAAAAACATAACATATACACCTTTAAGATCAACAATTGGCAGTCTCTATTCCACGTGTATTGATGAAATTGTGATATAAATATATTTGTGCTGTTATATAATATTATTATCAATACTTGTATATTGAGTTAGTAATCAACTGTATTATATATTTTATTTAATGTTGCGCAGTACTAGGTGACAATGCATGGTTCTAGTTGTATTTACAGTTAAAATACAAACAACGGCATTAAATTAAAGGGTTTTCACTGTTTGATCTTCCAATATGCGAATGCTGGCATGATTGCTCGATATGCCTACATAGCATATGTGTCGACGACTGCCATATGCAGCAGCACTACTGACAAAAGAACAAACGACAGTTCGATGTGTCGACGTTGCAGTTGAAAGAAGCAACATCCGCCCAGTGTGTAGCTTTAGCCGTTGTATGGAATGTTTGCCATTTGCTGGGCCGATGTGTCCAATGGCAGATATTCCCGTTGACTTACAAGCCATAATAGCTTCTATAGAAATCAGTGGTGGTACAACGCATTTGCCTTTATAAATTCATAGTTATAAAAAAGGAATTTAAACAGAAACTATAAAAGAAACGAACAAAGTTGAAAGAAAAGAAAAGAAGAACGTATTCGTATGCCGTTGAATAAACGCCCAGCTTATCCAGTTCGAATACCTTGAGCAGCGTCATTAACCAACATCACAGCAATTGCGAAGGGGTGGTGGTAAGGCAGTGGTGCAAAACGGGGATTTTCAGCTGTAACAGTTTCGCAAACCTGTTTGGCGTCAAAACCT